GAATATTTATTTAATGTTTTACTCTGCCTTATTCATGCACCAGCTCATTCAGTCCTCACATTAGCACTTTGAAGAAATTTTCTCTTTTTTGCTGATGAGTTAAATGAGGCTCAGAGCAGAGAATCACTTGCCCCAGGTCCTGCAGCTAGCAGATGGTGGGGCTTAGATTTAAACTTGTCTGTCGATTGTTAAAGCTCTGATGCCATGGCTCTGAAATGCTATGCTCCATACTCAACTACATGTACTTCTGAATCTACGTCCCAGTTCATCTGTTCCTGCTTTCTACTCAGAATATTTCTTTTCATTTTGATACCTTTGCTCCCCATAGATGCTTTTTCTGAATCAAAGTATTTTAGGAAAACTAGACATTTTTATAAGGAAAAATAAGGGAGGAAGCACAATATAGTTTTGAAGGATGGTTAGGTGAGTGTGTTTAGATAAGATCCGACCTTCTAAAACATATGATATGTTAACCAGTAGGAAAATATTAGGGCTGCTTTTATTTTTAATATTATTTTTAATGTTCTTACGGGGAAAAGAAGAGAAATCAAATCTGTTATGTATTACCACATATACAAAGGATGATGAATGTATTAAACTTACTCAGTATAATTACCACAACTTAAAAATACTTTATCCACTAGCTACAAACTTTATATACATTTATTTTTTATGTACACAGGATTTTTGCCAAGCTATTTTACAACACAATTACTGACTTTGTTCACAACTATTAGATGTTATTCTCCATTTCTGCTTGGCGCTAAGGGAAATTATTACAACCTGGTGAGTGTCATTCTTGAATTCTCTTAACTTTTGGCATACTATCAACAATAAGTGGGAACTCAAATTGTTACTGGTAAAAGTGTTAAGAAATTGTAATTCTCCTGCCTTTGTATTTGATGGGGTAATTTACCAGATACTAATCAGAAGTTTTCTGATGAAATTCTTCATTAACAAAAATCAAATTCAAATTCTGAGCTGGCCAACATTGATTTTTCAACATTTATTTTGTGCTTCTGAGGTTTGATACTGAGCTGCTTGGCATTCTCCTGGGTGCTTTGTAAGAGTGGAGTTCACTTTGAAGTTGATCAGATCTCTGTTTTTAAGAGATTGGCAGGATCTGGAAAAGAATATGAATTTGTCTGCTGGGTCAGAAATGTCATCATCATGAAGTTGGGAGATGAAATAATGCAGCAGCATACTGAACTTGCTAAAAAAGGAAAAGATATTAGATTGAATTCCATAGTAATCACATTTGCTTTAATTTTTTCCCGTGCAAGTAATTTCAAAAACACTTTGTTTAGATGCAAAATATTGAAAATTCAATGTTTGTGATTTTTTTTATTTTTGCCTTTTAAGAAAGATTTTCTTGAGTCATTCAGAGTTCTCTCAGAATAGTTTGTATTTTTCTGCTGCTGATCCAAGTCCAAAATATCTTAGGATGTTTTGACCATCTGCCTGGCAATTCTAATGAATGTTTGCCTGCAAACACTGAAAAGATTCACAGTGAACTTGAACATCAGTGGATAGAGCGAATTTTTGCGGCAAATCTTTCTAAACTCTGAAAATATGAAAACACTGGCATAGCTTTATTTAAAATGACTCCTACGAAAGCTGATTTCCATGTGTGTTATTCTACAATTCATAGTGTCAAAATTCAGATGAAAGGACTAAAATCTTAACTCTTTCATTCTTTCATTTTGTACTCATTTATTCTATTATTATTTCTTTTCAAATTTTTGAACTTAAAATAGTCTGCTTTATAAGATCTTGGTTTATGAGTCATGAGTACTGAGGAAATAATGTCAATTTTCCCTAAAAAAGTATTAAAAGAGATTGTCTGGACCTTGGATATTTCTGTCATGCGAGAAGAATGATACTTAGCAAGCACAGCAACATCAAAAACAAAAACAAACAAACAAACAAACAAAGCAGATGATTGGAGCGATATTTTTCCTTAGAAGTTCTAGTAAATCATACTGAATTTCCCTAGCATGTGTGGAGGCCAGGAGTTATGTTTTTCAAATGTATTAGTGTATTTTGGTGATGGCTGACTGCACTGAATTTGAGGGCCAAACTTCACACTCCTATTCTACAGCTGAATACAGCCCCATGTACCTAAAACATTCATTGGTGCTAGTCTCACAGTTATTGATAAGTTAAGAAGAAGACATGTTTGCTTTAAAATATTAGGCTTTTTCTTGACTTTCACATTGTATGATAAGCATTTCCGGTTTTTGGAATGAACGTTTAAAATCATTATATGCATGATTCGGTACCAAGTGAGAACACATTTGCTTGTCTAAAGCATGCATGCAAGCCGCAGTGACTTTACTGAGCTGTTTGTAGCAACTCAGTAATGACCACTTACTATTTCAGCATTTGGCTTTAAATTTAATTCTTTGAAATGCTTACATACAGTAAACTCTATGTGTCTACACACTTGTATGTGTCTGTGTTTATGTGTGTCTATTTATTGGTATAATCAGAAGAAATTCAACTTAAACATGTATGATAGGGGTTGTTTAGACTTTTAATGTTTTAGATATTTCTGGCTTTGGGTCCAAGTTAGTGGGGAGGATTGGAAAACTTAACATTGTGGCATCAATAGGCCACGATATTCTCTTGAAATAATTGCTTTTATCTTGTTCTTAAAAAACTAGTGAGTTCTATATTGGTGGAGGCATAACACTCCAGTAGTGTTAGAGATCATTATTTTACCTGGATAGCTTTAAAAATCTAACTGAATATTTTAAAGGAAAAGTTTGTGCTGCACATCCACATTCTCAGAAGGCTTCCTGCACAAGAAGAGCAGGACTGATGGTATCTCTAATTCAAGAAGAAAAGATGATTTATAAGCACTGAAATCTGGAAGATAAATTCAACGCTTAATGGTGTACCTTGTTTTGTCATGGCTCGCAGAAATGTGTTAGTATATTTTTTTCTTGTAATAAAACAGATGCTTCTTTAGGACCATTAGCTCATTTCTTTCTAGGGGAACTTCTAAATTATCTAAGCAGACAAGAGGAAAGCTCTCTCTGTGGAAAGGTGTGTGTTGTACTCTGGTTTGCCTGGCATTAGTTGTCATATATCCAAATATTGCCCAAATATCTAACAGTCGATTCAGCTTTCTACATCTTACTTGATTTACCTGTATGTCATACTAGTATATATAAGTAGTACATAGACTTTTTAAGGATTTGCATATGAACATATTTTCTGATACTTTTCCCTGGTCCTTACTCTTTTTCTCAGTGGGGAAAGAGGACAGACTAAGGGCACTGTACTGTCGTTAAGTTGATATTCACCTTAAACTTTTTCCTTGAGTTATGGAGGAAAAAAACATTTTTCTTTAGAACTAGTAGATGCTCTTGTCTGCCGTCATAACTGAATTACTGTCTTTAATTCTTGCCTAAAAATTGGTAGCTAGTTTCAGAGATAAATGGGATTCTTCCCTTCTTCCTTAGGAAGCATCTTTAGTGTTTTATAATCTACCTATTTTTTAAAAATTAAAAGTATTTGTGAAAAATAAAGTAAAGAGGATCATAGGGATTTGCTTTGACTATTTCTTAGCTTGACACTCTAAAATATGTAATGGTCAAAAAGCACATGATTACTTCTTGTCTTTTGAAGCCACTTTCCCAGAAAAAAATAATAAAGAGAATGACATGTACAGCTGCCTAATAATTTGCTTAGGTTTCTTTTTCAGTTATATTTCATGGAGAAAATCTTTAGATCTTTAAAATTTTTTATTCCACAGAATGAGTTCTTCTGCAGAAAGATTTTTATTAAATCTTACTTTTGGAGGTTAATTTTCCATCATTCTAGTGATAAAATTAATCGTATAACTTTTTCCTGTTTTACAGCTGAAGATGAAAAAGTTTAATTTTATATAGGCTTCATTTTTATTCACTTTTATTATGTTTTAAAGCTTTTAAAACTTGTTTAATCTTTTGGAAAAATTGTGTGTTACTTTAGCGTCACAAATGTATACTACAATTTTTAAGTGAGAAAAATGGAACACTTTACAAGAATTTTCAGATACATTTTTCTGTTACATATAATAATTTAGAGTTTTCAAAGAGTAAATTTAAAGCCCTCTTTATTTTTGAGTGGGCAAATATCTTAATACTGCCTTTGTTACATGTATATGCTACCTTTCTCATCTGAAACATAGCTACCAAGAAATTGCCCTTCTGTTTCCAGAGAGTATTCAGGACAGAGTGGTAAGCAGTCAGGGGCATGCGGGCCTGTGGTGGCACCGTGGTGGTGTCATACTACTGTTTCAGCTCAGGAATGGATTTAGGAATATTCATCCACAGAGGTGTGGGGTGAGCTTATGAAACTTGAAGTGGTGGAGGCGGATTTGGAATTCCTGCGGGTGCAGCCATGGGAGCTTGGGTCTCTTGGAGTCACTCTCTTCTTCCGACTGGATTTGGCGTTGTCCACCTCACTGGGGTCACACACCACTGTCATGGACTCCATCCTGGTCACAGTGTACAGGCTGCTTTGCCGAGTTGGATGAAACCTGGTGGTCTTGAGCTCCAGCTCATCATAGCTAGAAACTTTGATGAAAGGACACCAGCGAAATGCTCTCTTGAAGCCAGCTCGAAATCTAAGGAGAAGCAGGCCACAAGGAGAAGAAGTCGTGTTTTCAAGTGGAAATTTCCTTCAGCTGTCACAAAAAACTCTCCTTAATGCCCTTAAGTGAACTGAGTTTTTTAAATTTAATTTTCTAGTCAAAACTCAGAGTTTATGCCACAGTATTGGTACTAGTCTTCTAAGTTCTCCTTTGAATTGAAACTTAACTTTGCATCAGTGAGAAGCAAGTCATCAAAGAGTAAGCTCACAGCATCAGTAATCAATATGCCAAAGAAATAGTGTATATTTCTTCAGTAATGTTATATATTTGCATATGTGTAATTTAATTAGGCTTGCTGGTTAAGGCACTTAAAAATAAAGTAGCTTCTTACAGAAATAATTACACATTTATAAATTAAAGTCTCACTTAATATTAAAATTAATTGCTAATCTAGATGGTTTTTAATCTAATCATATAGGAAAGTGCAAAATCCTTGGCTTTGTAAACCATTAAATAAAGTTAATTAGAAATAGATGTACTTCTTACGGGGTGGCTTGAATTGATATATGGCTTATGCAATTAATGAAAAAAAGCAAGAACTAAGTAGTTTTTAACAAACCTAAGACATAGTATGGTAGAAGCCCAACTGGAAAGAGAGCTTTGGATTTAGGTCATGTAATTACTTACTTGAAGTTCCATTTCTACTTGTACTAAACCACACTGATCTATTAAACAAATTTACCCTATGAAATTTAACCCTACCCCTCCATGTGCTGACCTTATAAACAAGGTGTTTTTTTTTAAGTCTGGAAACCACAGTTTTGGGTTTTTTTTTTCCTGCAGTCTTAAATTTAACTGTAAATATTTCTGCTTTTTTTTCAACTTCACTTTAAAAGTAGCTTTCCCCCTGACCACCTCAGTTTCCTCACAACCCATTCCCTAAAGGCTGCGCCCTCTCTTACCCACTGACCTCATCATGCAGGAAGGAGGATTGGAATTCTTCCCCTTACTGTTGCTTCTATTACTGTCATAACACCTTCTATTTTGAAGACTACTTATAAAACATCCTCTTTAATAGAGTCTACTCACATATGCCATCATCTCTCCACCTGCGCATTTCTACAAAGTGTCTTCATTTCTTTGAGGATTTGAGCACATTTTCAACTCCCTTCCTTTAATAATAGGTTATTTCTTTTTCTTTGGCAAGTAAAATTCTGACGAGTTTGGAGGGAGAATTTGGCCTATATAAAAATCGCCTAGTTGTGGGAAGGGTACAGCTCGGTGGTAGATTACATGCTTAGCATGCATGAGGTCCTGTGTTCAATCCCTAGTATGCCCATTAAAGCAAACAAACAAACAAAAAACAAAAACAAAAAACCTCCTAATTTCTCCCCCTAAAACAACAAAAAACAAGCAAAGAAACCCAAAACAGACAAAAATCATCTAGTTAGGACCTCTAAGAGCATTGTTTTGAGGATATAATTGTTAAGGTGAGATATTTCATTAAAAAAGGGAGAGTCTAGAAAAGTATCTCTAGCTCTGTGCTTCTCTCACTGACTTTTTCAATTTTCCCTTCCTTTTGAATTTTAAAAATGCACCAAGAAGCTGGAGCAACATTATATGCTTTCAGCAAAGCCAGAAGTGACCACGAACTTGCACTTGGTAATCTGGTTTTTACCTCTTATTCAGACAGCAGTAGATGATGGGGTTGTACATGGTGGAGCTCATTGCCAGCCAAAAGCTAGCCAGGTAGACCTGCTGAATATATTTCCACCTATTTAGTTGCTGATAGATTGCAGTGAGGATGAAGTAAATATGATAGGGCAGCCAGCAGACGGCAAATGTCACCACAACAATAATCATCATTTTTACAACCTGGAAAGAAAGAAAGAAAGAGGTCATTTATGGCAAATGTAAAAGTTATTACGTATATATTAGTTCTAATAGCTTACTGCAAATCATGCTTTTCTGCCAATACAGTTAAATACATAGCATTCCTGAGGAATAGTCAAAATATTAAAAAATGGTGAGATAATACAGGGACAGTTACCTAAGGTAAATTTCAAGAAAGCATGTTTGTATCACCTAATGAATAGGTGGCACTAACTCAAACGGAAACAAATATATTTCAATTGGCCTCAAGAAAATATGTGTTTACAAAACACCAAAGAACCTGAGGGAGAAAGGAGCAAGAGTTAGGATTGGGCTGTGCTAGCCTACACAGTAAAATAGCGAAGACAATATATCTAGAGAAACTGAATTTTATATCTAGTCATTGTATCTAGAGAAACTGACCCAGCTCTGTGACTGTTGAGTCACAGTGTGGTACATGAGGCCATAATGGCTAAGCAGGTTCCTAAGTATTTATTATAGCCTGAGTATAGCTTATGATTGTTCAGATTTCTTTAATACCATGCTCTCTAGACAAACTTCTGAATGTTAACTTGGTTTATTTGTAATCTGATATTGGGAAAGGTTTCTCTGGATAGTGATAAAGAATATTCACATTAGTCTGAGGAAATATCACTAACTTCAAGTTTATAAATAGGCAATTGGCGTATACAACTGGTTTATACATCAGTTTCTGTGAGTTTGGTTAGCATGGCTCATTTCCTCTATTTTCACACTTCTGAACCACAAATCCTGGAAGGCCCTAGCCAAAGTAGAATGTCAATCTCTATTTCTTCTCCACTAGTCTTTGAATTTTTTAAAGGCATAGATAATGTCTTAACTGTCTTAATATTCCCAGCATCTAATGCAATCCTTAGTATATTGCTGAAAGTAGATAACTAGATATAAAATGAATGAATAATGAACAACGATGTATAATTTGTAACAGGAAGTTGAATAGGAGGATGTTTTTTGTCTCTAATGAGATAAAACTTGTTCCATTGTTTGTGTCTATAAGAAAGGTAGACACAAAGATATTGAACACTGAGCAGCTTGACTTTCTATGTAAAAGGAAATAATAATAATATTCTAGAATAACCTCATTTAATATCTCTCATTACCAGTCTGTCCAGTAAATTTGTTCATACTTCTTTTGGGACTTTGGAAATAGGAAAAAGTTTAGAATAATATGTATTAAACAAAATGATTTTGAGGCCTACGGTCACGTTTGAACACAAATCAGAGTAAGTCCTGGCATAAATGGCCTATGTGGCTTCTGAGAACTGTGAAAATATGTTACTTAAGTCCTGAACTCATCATTTGATTGCAAGTTGGGATTTAAATGAAAGTTGTGAAGGTTAAAAATCATGAGAGACATGATTCTAGAAATAGACAAAGCATGAAATGGATCAATGTATAAGGCAAAGCTTTCCTAAGGGTCTAATCAAGGTAACATCCAAGTATCTAGTATGAACTGATGGAAATTGGCTATCAGAGCTGAAAATCCAGGTCAATAACTCACAGAATGTCATCACTGGCCACGTCATGCAAAGTGTTTTGATTTTCTCATTGTTACTTGCATTTTTTTTCTGAAGAACTGTATTCAGAATCCTGCATTTTAGCTCTCCTAGTTTTCATTCATATATTTGTAAAATACAACTAAGGGCCATATTTTATTATAATTTACATTAATATCGTGTTTCGCACTCCTAACAACTTATTAATTGGTTTTTAATTGCACTTTATGAAACTGAGGCAAAGGCCAAAGAGTTGACCATTGTAATTCATGGAATGTAAGTTAGAGTCTTTAAAACTCAGACTCTTAAGTCTGTTTTTTCTACTTACAACTAATAACATTTATTGAATGTCTGTTGGGTCTAGAAAACAGAATAGAGAAAATTCATGAGTAGAAGACTGATTCTTTATCTGGAAAAGATTGCAATATAATGAAAAATGTAAATTAAAAATGCATGGAAATATGGTAAACATAAGCATATGTAAATAAAATTGAAAATAATATTTATGAGAACTTACTAGTTTATTATAGGCAGGAATGACTCAATGCATGTTAACTGCAGGCTCACAGAATATTAGACTGAATGACATGGATTCTATTGCCTTTTTCACACTTGACTATGTGAACATCATACCATTCCTTGCACATGCTGGACAAACTCCTGTGCAAGATCATCCCCCTCGGCTCCTCCCTCTGGGACACGCCTCCAGCTGTTATTCTTGCTGGCTGACAGCCTCATCTCCTTCCAGCTGTTGCACAGTTGTCACTTTTTCTGAGAATCCTATTCTGACCAACCTACTTAAAATTGCAGTCCATCCTTCTGGCACTCCCCAGACTCCTAGCTTTTTCTTTATTTTCAGTTTATTTGTTATGTATATTTTTCACTTTGTGTCTCCTTTTGCTAGAATACAAAAGGGCAAGAATTTCCTGCTTGTTTTGTTTGCTGAGGTATTTCAGGCATATAGACTGGGTTTCACAATCGGTTTTCAAGTTTTTAGAAATAAATAAAAGTGAATACAAAAAGAAAGAAACTAAAAGACATATAGTTGGTTAATCAGTGTTCATAATTTTACTCTGTCATTAATTACTGGATCATTTGTCCTCCAACTTCAAAATGAGCCTGTGTATATAAAATGAGATATTTCCCTTTTCTAGGCGAACAAATTCAGGTAAAGAGAATGAATGTACAATATAACCAGTATACTATTTTGGATGCATGAAAGCATTGCATTTTTTTCTGAACAAATGTTAAGGGCAAGAAAAAACATGACAATGTGAACATGGTTCAGGCTACTATGTTAAATATAGTATCAGCAAATGTACATAAAAGTTTATTTGAATGCTTTTATACAGACTGATCACAAACTCCCTTTATATGAAATTGTTTTTCATCAATAGCTGAAGAGCTACAAAGGCTACAAGAGTCTTTTAAAGTGACTTGCAACCATCAATGTGGAAGAATTCCAGAATGTGGGAAAATTAAAATGCTTATGGAGAATTAAATGAAAATGCATCTGAAATGGAGATATCAGATAACTTGTAATTCACATATATATCCTTAAAGACCCTATTGCAAAACATTTAGAAACTTGTTTGAAAATTTTTAGGAAGAATCTAAAAGAACCTAACAGAAAGAATCTTTTGCAGTGAAACAACTGATAAAATATATTTTATCTATTTATTGCTATAAAATAGGTTTTAACCATTACCTTGGGTTTCTGCTCACAAAATCTTGTGCAGTGATTTCAGACATCAAATTCTCAGCCCACCAGGTTTGATGTAAATGCAAAAGCAGGCTCTTGGATGGGCAACATTGCCTTGCTTTGTGATATGCTGGAATCATGAAATTGTAATCATGCTTTTTTCTCATAAAAAGGCAAGGGAATGAAGCACAAACCTTGACCAATGATAGATGTGCAGCTGCTCAGTTCCCTTGTGTCTCATGACTGGACCATGGCACTGTCACAGACAGGCTATAAATGCTGAGCAGGAAAGTTGGTAGACTTCCTGAAACTCCTTCTATTTTTTAGGCAAGATAAGAGACTGAGATAGAGATGATTCAAATCTTTCAACATGTCTTAACAAACTTTATTGTAAATTGATTGAAGTTGGGTGTTTCTTGAAGCTGAAAGACATATCCAGCTTCTGAAGCAATGGGATTTACTTCCCATGACATGGACAGTTGTGGACACCCATTGTCCTTGGCACGGGAAATTACTAGCAGGAGGAAGAAGGGAGGTGGGACAAGGGAGGTAGCTCTTACACAACATCGTCTCTTTTTAATAGTTTAGAATCCACCTTACTCACATAGGCAGGATTGAAATGCGTGTCATACATCAGTGAGAATAACCTTTGGGTACCTTTTCTTCATGTATCAAAGGGAAGAAAGCCTCCCTGTGTAGATGAGACTGGGATGCCTGCTGCAGCTGTTCTTATCTAGCACATTAAATTGATGCAGGATGGGTGCTTTTGAGATTTTAGGTTGTGAAATAAAAAGAGTCAGCAGAGGAAATTAAATAATATATTACTGATCCTAAAAAAATCTAGGAATTATATTCTTTAGGGAAAAATTTATTCTTTTTAAATGCCTGACCTTGAAATGATTAATTCTAAGTGAGATGAAACTTCTTGTTTTGATTAAAACTTCCTCAGAGCATGTTTTGGAGAACCAACCATGGTCCACACCTTACCACTTCTCTATACCTTTTGTCTGCACAAATATTCTTAAAGGACATTATATCTCTTTAAGTCAGAGTTACAATCCTGCTTATTCTAACTTCCCATTAGCAAATTCAAATGATGGGAAAAAAATTAATTACAAGCATCAGAATCTGAAGTACCTCTTTTAGAACTATTTAGATTGGGCTTTTGCTGCTTCAGAAATCATGCTAAAAAATTTCAATCCCAAGTGAGAAAATAAGAACCACGCAGTAGCACTTGTGAAAAAAGTGCTGGATGGTCCAGAAGATGAGTTGAATTTTGCCAGTAATTTCAGAATTAGATGAGAATATAGGCGTATTGTGTTAGTGTCATCCAAGGAATTTGACACTGTTGCCAAATCCAACTAGCATGTCTATCCAATTAACATTAGCTTAGAGCAATGCCTATAAGAAATTATGTGAAGGCCAAACAAATGAAGAAAACCCTGTGAATGTGCATGCAGATATGGGAAATATTTCTCTCTGTGTATGTACGCAGTATTGCATTAGTTTTATTGAAGGAAAGTTGATTTACAATATTGTGTTAGTTTCAGGTATAAAGCAAAGTGAATCAGTTATACATACATATATATATATATATTTTTCAGATTCTTTTCCATTATAGGTTATTACAAGGTGTTGAATATAGTTCCTTGTGCTATACAGTAGGTCCTTGTTGTTCATCAATTTTATGTATAGTAGTGTGTATCTCAAACTCCTGATTTCTCCCTTGGTATTGTGTTTGGATTCTACTTCTTTACATTTCACTG